AACAACAAGACCTTCTTCGACTTCACCTTTGAACTCTGGAGCTCCTAATCCCTTTAACTCTTTGGCTATATTAATCCTCTGCGCTGAGGATGCATGAGTTTAGAAACGTGTCAAAATAGTGCCCAACGTCCTGAAGAATACATTTTGATATTGTACAGGCACTCCAAAGGGTGACTGTCCTTCACCTTGCCTGGCCAGGGCAGGTGAATTACTACTTTCAGCTAATCTATCATCTCTTGCTTCACCCCGAGAGCTATCTTGTCCGGACATCTAATAAGAGATAACCAAATATTTCTATCAGCTAAACAACATACTCATTACTCGTATCAGATCAGAAGTTCTTACTACTGTATTGGCATGAACACTTTTTAAGACACTATGGACTCAGGTTTATGCCGAGAATCGACTAAACCGTAGCTCTGATACCATTAAATGTAACACCCTCAACCCGTATCCGACCTGGATACAAGTCTGAGGTGTCACATTGACTTTTCAAACTTTAAACTTTTAACGAAAACCAATGAAATTTAAAACTTTTATTAAAATAACATTGTCATTGTACACGAGTTAACCAAAACAAGACAAAACTAATCAGAGCATTTGTAACTAACACTTTTCTTACATGCCAACACACTACATACAACAAAATACATACTATGACTTTCCTTCTGATCTGATCGTTGAGTAGAGATATGTTGATCTGCAAATTCCTATTCTTGATTCTCCTGCTATTCGAAACCTACGTGTAAAAACACTTACACGCTAAGTCATACACTTAGTGAGGCATAATTACATAATAAAGAAATACTAAAAATATAAACATGTCGTCTACTATCCAAACGCAAATATACTATCATACTATCATTTATTATACCACATATGAGACAAAATAAATCATAATAATACCATATTAAGATACAATTATATACATCCTCGTTATGTCCTATTTAAGCCCATATACACTATTGAGAACCCAAGGTATACGAGTATTATGAGGTTGTGCACACGTATGCTGTCACCACAGCTCAATGAATGTTCTGAATGACCTATCCAGAGGTCATAAAGATCCTCGGTAACTATCCAGAGGTCATAAAGATCCTCAGTAACTATCCAGAGGTCATAAAGATCCTCGGTAACTATCCAGAGGTCATAAAGATCCTCGGTAACTATCTAGAGGTCCCGAATAACCTAGGTAAAATATCAATATGTTCCTTAGAACATAGGTATATTGTCCATATGTCTCGAAAGACATAGGTAATTCTTTGACTCTTGGCATGCTAACTATACCTACAGTTCTCATAACTCATATCATAGGCATTGTCTTTTACCTTATTACATATTCACACATCATATCACATTTTTCTTTTCCTATAGCTCTTTATCACATGTTCATATGATCATCTTATCACCTATACCTTTTCATATAACCATTACATATATACATACATACATACATACATGCATACATGCATACATGCATACATGCATACATGCATACATGCATACATGCATATATACATACATACATACATACATGTCATCATTTATGTTTTTATCATACTCCTATAGTATTATCCTTCATATCTTTTATCTCTTGTTCATTTTTCATCCAATAACTTATATAAATGTATATATATCACGTATACTAGTTTCTAGGTCCCATCACACTAGCATATTTTCATATATTTTTAATCACGTAGTTTATTTTTCATATAATTCATGTCACCCCTCATATGATTTCATATTCATATGCTATATATTTCATATTCTTTCTTATGTCCTTTCCATACTTCTTATTTCATATTCTTATGAAATCATATTGATCATTTTAACTATTTCACATATTTAACACATTTATCTACCTATTTACACAACTCATATAATATATATATACTGTAACATGTCAATACATATGCTCATTCATACATATAAACCATAAAAAACACATCACACACACTTCATATACCTAATATAGATATCTCGTAACTCATTCAATCCCATATGACACATATATTCATATATAAGCTCTAATCTGTAAAATAGACTTACCACAATCTGGATAGTATATCCCATTATGCATATGGTATGAATTCATATCATCTTTAATAATATTGAATGAATCATGTATCAAGATATTAAATCTAGACTTATCGCAAGTCTAGAACTGAATATACTAACATAATCATGTTATGCATATGCACTCACCTTAGCCTTGTTTGAATTGAATCAATTCTAACCCTTCGATTACTTTGAAGCAAAGTCACGTTCAATATCTACATAATAATACATTGATACATATCAATATCCAATTAATATACTCTAATCTATCATTTCTTAGACCAAAAGAAATGTTTATTTCTATTTCTCTTGAAGTGCATCGATGCATTCAACAGTGCATCGATGCATTCTTTAGCATGTGCATCGATGCAATACCCGTGCATCGATGCACAAATCACCTTCGATGTTTTCATTTTAAGGGGATGCATCGATGCACTCCTTATGCATCGATGCACCAATTGCATTCGATGTTTCCATTTTAATAGGTGAATCGATGCATTTCCTGTGCATCGATACACACTGAACAATTTCTAGAGATTTACCCTTGATGCATCGGTGATGCACATAGCTCATAATTCATTTTAAATCCCGAAAATCTACTCAAAACAACTCAAATGCTTCATATTTCATCCCCTTTCATGTTCTTAACTCTTATACACTTATTTAAACTAATTAATACTCATTCAATATCTCTTACACTTCAAAATCCATTCTTCCACATAGAATTTAAGAATTTCACTCAAATTCCCATATGATATAATTCTGATTCTAACCCTTCATATCCTTTAATCAAGTTCGGGACAAGTCAAATTCAACTTCCAATTCTCAATATAAACTTTATTTCGATATTTCATTCAAAAACTCCAAATCTTTAAATCCTCATAAACTCTTCATCTTGTTGTTTTAAAGCAAATTAATCTTTCCTTAATCTTACTTAGCATTTAATAATCAAAACTAAACTTAAATTTCAGCACATAATCAGCTCAAGAGAAAACTCACCTTTACTTGGCTTCACACGTGAAGAAGAAGAAGAAAAAAGAAGAGAACTCTGGAAACCTCTAAACTTTGTTTCCTTCCTTCCACGTGTATCTATATATACCATATATTATTATTATATTTTTCTTTTCTTTACAAATGACCATACTATCCTTTCATTCCTTATTCTTTTCAATTTGATCTTACACCTCATTTCTCATATAAGTCTTTAAACCACTCAATTATTCTAATTTAAATCACCAAATTTTGAAACCTTACAATTTAGTCACTAACCCGGTATTGAGGATGTTACATAGTATTTTTCAGTTAGCAGGATGAACAAATAATAGTTGTTGTTGAAAGAACACAGAAGAACATATTAACTTCTATGCAAGGCATATGAAGCAGCAGACAATCTAAATACAACCAAATCAAGTAATTTCAATCAATATAGGCTCACAAATCAAGCCTTCCACGGAAAACAACAAAAAATATACATATATGCAATAACAATACATTCCAGAAGTCACGTCAAGAAATCCTAGTGCATAAAAATGAACTAAATAATACCAAAACAAGATAAATGCTATGTAGCAGAGTTTACTCACCAGATCTCTATATATAGGATGCATAATTATTTCTTCTCGATTTTGCTTCGGCACCAACAAGTCCTAAAAACAGACAAAACAGAGTCATTTTTCCCAATTTACAAATATTGTTTCCAACATTTTAAAGACACAGACAACATCATTCAACTATTGTCTTTTTATATATTATTTGCTTCATTCTTCTTCAAAAAGTTGCTCAAAAGTAAAAACTATAATCGTAAAAATAAAATCATACTCAAGAATAAATATGAGCATATAGCTAAAAAATTAAAGACACAATCAAAGTATCAAACATAAGTGATCCATTGATCCGTGCAACAACAAAATCATTCATTTAATTACTCAAAACAATTAAATTTATATATTTTTTCAATTACTAATAAGTAACGAACTTTTTCACTTCTATCTGGAGAAGCAAAAGAGGAAATAGCAGAAGTATCAAGCAAAGCCAACACAAAGAACAATTAAATAAAGAAATTAAGTGTTGACGGAAGTCGACCTGGTTTGATCACAAGGCGATTAGTGAGAATAATCCCCCTTCGCTTATCAACGACAAAACCAATAGCATAACTAGTACCAGCAGGCTCCGTATCAAAAGCACGACAAGCAGTAGTACGGAGGACGAGGACGACCGAAATAACTTTATTAAGAGCATTCCGCCAATCATCGACAGTAGCGAGGTTCTCTATGAGTGGAGGATCGATGTCCATGGAAAGCTTTCCCTTGATCGTTTTTAAGTTTTGAGAAAAAGGGACATGGTGTTTCCTCCAAACTACGCTCGACATTCTCCTCATAACAATTTTCTTTCAACCATAACCAAGCGGAGAGAAGGGTACTTTAGACAAGAGGGCCGGGAATAAGTAAATACCTAAGAGAGATGGGGGTATGACATTCCCGGGAAAGTATGAAAAAAATCATTGTTGGTAATTATTCTTCTCCTGCACTTGGGAATGTAGTCCATCCAAACATGAGTATGTTTACCCTGAAAAAAAGATTACCAGCAGGAATTAAATATAACCTGAACTAAACGGCGCCTAAAAATAAATCAATAAACTATAAAATATAAATATATTTTTTGTAAGAATAAAAGAATTTGAGTAGGTTAATTACTTAACAGTAGTTTAAATGATGGGCTTTTTCAGTTTTACAAAGCATTATTATTAATTAAAACATTGGGCTTAATTAAAAATATAGCCCAAAGCCCGTGTCATTTAAAATCACGATTGGGTCCGATTAATTTTTTGAGGTCCAAAGTTAGAAAATTAAAGCATCCAAAATCAAACAATCCATAAAAAGAAACCCTAGAAATTGAATAATCGCAAACGGGCGGCAATTTGCTTATAAATGAATCTCAGCGACACAGTATTGGCCGCCTCTTCGGAAGGAGTTTTACTCTATCGCTTGATTTTCTCCTTCCAAAACCCTAAGCCTATTCTCTATGGAGTTCTGGGGTAAGCTTCTTTCTCTTTTCGTTATTTTTTGGTTTGGGCCTTTGCCTTCGTCTCTCTTTTTCTTCTTCTGTGTTGCTTAGTGTTGTTTTATTTGAACATTCTTGCCATTTCTTATTTTTTTGCTGTTTACATTTCTTTTTGTTTTTAGAAGTTAATAGTTATTTTCTGGAAGCTTTGATCCTTTTTATTGGATCTTTTTCTCCTTTTCACTGTCAATACATGATAGTAACATTACTTTAAGAAGTTTTTTAGTATTTTCTCGTATAGCTAGTTATGTTTATTAGTATCATTTCACAAATGCAAGTTAAAGTATTCCAGGTTCACTTCATCTCGTTATCATTGAATGGAAGCTTGAATAGAATGGTCATTCACATCTGATTTTTTTGCATAGAATGTTTTAAGACCTATTCATTTTCTGATATTTTGTTTTTTAGTTTGAACAAATGTATTTGATACCCTTTTGTGTTACTATTAGGTATTGAAGTTAAGGCTGGACAGCCTATCAAAGCAGACCCTGGTGCTGAATACGTCATACATCTTTCCCAGGTTTGAGGTTATTTAGTTAATGAAGTTTATATTAATAAATATGGATTTTTCTTGTTCTTAATGTAACTTGTGTTTTAGGCATCACTTGGTGAATCGAAGAACAAGTCAGAATCTGTTCCACTTTATGTGAATGCTAATGGGAAGAAACTTGTTCTTGGAACACTTTCCCGCCAGAATTGCCCCCAGTTGTCTTTTGATCTTGTATTTGACCAAGAGTTTGAGCTTTCTCACAACTGGAAAAATGGGAGTGTCTATTTCCTCGGTTACAAGACTCATATTCCAGAGGAAGGATATCCTTTTATTAATAGGAATGAATTTACTTATTTTCTTTATTATAGTGCTTTTGTTTTTAAATAAATATGAAGTGTTCTTGTTCAGTCTTGTGCTTCCTTGACTTTTTTTTAATCTCTTTTGTCGCCACTAATGATTTTGGTGAGGCCTCAAATAAAATTTGTCCTACTTGCAATTTTGTCTATTTTGTTAAATTATTTATCATGTTTGTTATTCTTATTTACAGATATATCTAGTGATGAAGAAAGTAGTGATGAGGAGGAGAAGATTCCTCTGGTTGCTGCAGAAAATGGTAATTTCTCTTTCTGTGCTGTGTGATTTATATCAATGGTTGAAGATTTGATTATTTCATATTTCAATTGTTTAACGTTTTCTTACTTGCTCCAGGAAAAGCCAAGACAGATGTGAAAACAGCCAAAGCCGATGCTGGGAAACCAGTAGCTGTCAAGATAGCAGAACCTACCAAGAAAACCGAGGATGATGACGATGATGATTCAGAGGATGAAAGTGGTTCTGATGACTCAGATGATTCTGAGGATGATGAGGTTTCTTATCATAACTTGGCCAAAATTTTTAATTCATTTGTTTTACTGATTCTGATATCTGGTCTGATTGGTCTCTGAGTTGTTTGCTACCTGTTTCTTTTTTGTATTATCTTTGTTGTTACTTGATTTTTTTTATTTGTATGAACAGATGTCTATGGATGAAAGTTCAGATGAAGAGGATGAAGAGACACCTAAGAAGGTATCTTTGATAGAAGATATTGTTGAATCTGACCTGATTCCATAGTTGTAATTCATGTTTTCCTCTTTTCAAGGTTGAGTCGAGCAAGAAGAGACCTGTGGAAACTGCAACCCCTGCTTCAAAAAAGGCTAAATCTGCAGTTTCACCCCAGAAGTCAGGTCATTATCGTTGTAGGCTTGAAAATCAGCAGTATCAAGCGTCATTTATGCCACTGACTACTTTACTTTTTCACCAGTATTGGACTGTTCATTTATTTTTATCTTCTGATCATAATTGCTTGCAATTGTAGCAGCAGATGGTAAGAAGGGCGGTCATACAGCAACACCGCATCCCACTAAGATGGCTGGGAAAAATTCAGCGAAAACTCCAAAGTCTGGCGGTCCAGGATCTCACAAGAAGGCAAAACATGGTGGCAAATGAGGTTGGGTTTACATGCTCTAATGTGCATGTCTAATTTTGGGGCAGAGAGACATGTCTTGTGTTTTTGGTAGACGATGGTAGTCAGATTTAAGGTTTAAACAAACTTTTGCGGCGGTGTTTCCCTTTAATGAATTTAAGAATATTATGTTTTATGTAGTGTTTGCCTCAGTTTTTGTCTGATTTTACATGTGTGGTCTTCAAGATAAAATGTTTATGTTTTTATTCAAGGGGAATTTTGAACTTCATTGAAGTTTAGCTTATTTGTGTTCCCCCCACAAAATATTATTCGATGTCATTCAAACTATATAGATTGAACATGGTTTAATATTAGTTCTATCAATCTTATGTTATTTTGTCCGTAGGGTTCACTAAATTGCAGAGATTCTCATCAGATTAAAAGCCAGAATTGACTTTATTCGTCATGCAATAGAGTTTGACAATACAATATGAAGATATTTTTTTTTGCCTTGGGTGCTCTAGATTTTGCAGCAATGAAAAGCACAGAGAGCACCACTTACAACAAATATTCTACATAAACAAGTGAGAAGCGGTAAGATTCAAATTGACCTTATTCTTCTGCTGAAAGACCATGATTTCATGATAAGAGCACATTAGCATGAATGAACATGACAGCCAGTGTTCTTAAGAAACACTGTCCAAACTTTGAAGTCATAGATCACTGTAAATAAGTCACAAAGATCAAATTAAAATAACAACAACAACAACAAAATTCTATTCTCATGTGTAATGGGGTAAGGGGGAGGTAGGGTAGTAGGTTGCCTCTAACGCTACCCTACCTCCAGAGTTGAGAGCAACTTTCGTGGAAGATCTCCGACAGCCAAAAAATTAAAGATAAAGATAAAATGCAATGTATGTATAAATAAACAAGTAAATATATAGTTGAACAATCTTCATATGCAGTCTTCATATGCATGACTTTAATGAGAAGTAATTTCTGTAAATAAATCATTGCATTAAAATCTCTGTATGTAGACAAAGAGATCAAATTAAAAGAATGCTAGAAACCGTAGCATCAAATCAAATACTAACACGTCAGTTGATAGAAAGAACAGTTAAGGATGGAAGGCATACGTGCAATTTTGCATATGTACATCTTGGTCCTGCATTGACATAATCCACCTCCTTTCCTAGTCAGTCAATCTACATAATTACACTGATAATTGTATAGTCGAAAGGCCTCAAATCTAGAATTTGACAAGACAAAATTATCAATACCCACATTAAAATAATTTCCTTTTGTATGTAAAATAATAAATTATAGTTAAATAGCCTTATTTAAACTCCTGACAATAGTGAACCCAGCTTTTGAAAGAGTCCTTCCTAGTCAAAACTGTAATATTATTTTCAAATTTTCGGCATCACAACTTGATGTATAACTTTAATAAGCTCTTAATATAATTAAGAACAGAAATTTAGAAGGGAAGACGGAAGGGGAACATTTTTTTTATGAAACAAAAAAGAATTACATAATAGAACTTTGGGTTAACTACATGAATGGTCGATTATGTTTGTGTTTTTCAACTTTTCCTAGATGATTTCGAAAAACATAATATATTATCACTCTCGGTTATCTAATTAAGATATGATCATTTTCGTTTTTATTTAGTTAGGATGTGGTCACCACAAATTAACTGTCGTTAACAGATTAGGTGACATGGTGTTTGGTAGAATAACACATTTGGTACTTGTTATTTATATATTCTCTTGATTTAGTTCTATTTTTAATAAATTAAAATAAATTTAATCCTCCAATCGATTGATGTCACGTGTCGTGCCATATGTCACCATTCGGTTGGAGGATTAATTTTATTTTAATTTAATATATTTATTTTCCCACCAATTAGAAGGTGACACATGCCATCCTATTGTTGAAAGAAAATAAAACAAAGCAACTTGGGGCTAAAGGATTCACTCCTAGTCTATTGGGAAACCAAATATGTACCTAACCATTGAACCAAGATCAGTGCTTGGCCTAAAATACATAACAATTCAACATGATATAAATGTTTTGTATCTTAGTGCATAAATACTAAACTTAAATTTATAATATTTTATATGTATTGATTTTAAGAAATATATTTTTTATATTAACTTATTAAATATATTTTAAAAATATTTTATTTTTGTTTAAATTTAAAAGTATATTTTATTCTTATCTAAACTATATTTAATTATTATTTTAACTTTTTTTAAAAATGTATTTTTATCTTAATTTACTAAATATATTATGTTATTGCTTTAAATTATTAAATATATTTATTCTTATCTTAATTTTAAAATATTTTATCATAATATAAATGTTTTAAAATAAAAATAAAATAATTTTAAATTAAATTAATAATAAAATAGATTTTATAAGTTAATATAAAAATATTTTTTAAGTTAATATATATAAAACATTATGAATTTAAGTTAAATATTTATACGTTAAGATACAAAATATGTACATCTAGGGATGGGCATGAGACTGAACCCAAACTTTGGTCAAGGGTTCAGGTAAAAATACCCAACCTGAAAAAAATAATTATAATTTTACCTTACATATTTAGGAATAATTATAATAATACCCCTATATATATTATTGTTCCCAATTAAATCTGTATTTTTATTTAATAAAAATAATATTTTTTAATAAATATATTATTTCGAGTCGGGTCGAGTTTAAATTTTATCTCAAAAAGTCAGATTGGGTTTGACTCAGGTGGAGGGTGTAAAATTTTCGGGTCAGGTGGAGGATGTAAAATTTTCAAGTAACTCGACCTGCCTATCCAAATCATGTTGTTTATTTTAAATCAAGTATTGGTCTTAGTTCAATGGTTGGGTAGATGCTTGGTTTCTCAAATTATTTAGGTCCAAATTCCTTCGGCCTTAATTTGCTTTGTTTTGTTTCTTTTAACTCGAGAGTGACAAGTGTCATGACACATGATACTAGTGACACATGTCATCATTCGATTGGATGATTATGTTTATTTTAATTTATTAAAATAATTATAAATTGATAGAATATGTAAATAACATGGACTAAATATATAATTATATCAAAATATTTGACAATTAACTTTTAATGACTTCATCTTAATTAAATAAAAACGAAAGTAATCATATATTATGTTATTTTGAAATTAACAAGGAAAAGGGAAACAAATACAAATTAAAATTAGGGTAAAGTATAGTAATGGTCACTGAATCTAATGATGCTGCTTACATCATTTCACTGGTTTGAACTCAGCTTTTCAGTTGATTAGTTGCTGAATGTGCTTATTTACCCACCTTTTACTTGTTAGGCAGCTTTAACTGACTCGTGTAATTCTTCTCCCTAGTTTGTGATGGTTTTAACTTCATCCACTGGATGTTTCCTTGCTAAAAGTTTGTACTGATTTCATCAGAATAGTTAGAGAAATAAATCCATCATTGCATCCAGCTTTGAATATTGTTACAGTTATGCTGATGAATAGTGATAACACTTCTGAATTCTGATAGGTCCTTAAAAATGAAATAAGTGTTGCTGTTGCCGCAGTTTATGTCTATTATTTGCATCCTTGCATCTTAAAACTAATTATGAGGATAGTTCTAGAAGATTTCAACCATACTTTAAGAAATTTGAATTTGATTGCCTTAAAATTGGCTAACGCTGCATTCTAGATGTTTGTCTATGTGAAATGAGGACGATGTACTTGTTTTTAAAGCTTGGTGGTCTATTTGGAAGCTTGAGTGGATCATAGTGACATAAATGATAAAGAGGCACTAAAAAAACTTATATTTTGGCTTATTTGTATAATTAGCATCATTTAAAATATAATCCTTTGTGCGGGGTTTAAAAAATTATGATAGATATTGCAATATTTAGTCTTTTCATTCTGTAAGTTTTTGAAGCTTGGACTATAGAGTTCTCCTTGGTTTGTAAACCATGGCTTCACTATACCAGTGTAATAGAGATTGTTTCCATATCCCCCATGACTTGAATTTGCATTTGGCAATGTAGTCTTTTGGCTTTGTAAGTTGCTCTGCTTATTTTCCCTCATTTAAAAGCACAGGATATCCTTGAGTCATTTTATATCAACCAAGGTGGTTGAACTCGAGAATATAGTGAAATTGTTAGTAGTATTGAGACTAACGGCAGCCTTGTTTTGAGAGTCAAGTGATAACCTTTTAATGTTTCTCAGCCTTTAAGGTTTACTAGGCTGGTCTTGCAAGGTAGTTGTTACGGATCATTTTCCACACATAGATGATGGACTAGTTGATTAGTTAGAAACACGATGGCATTAGGCTTAGCTTATGTGTCTACAAGTAATGTCAATTTTGTCGGTGTCATTTTTGTTATTTCTGGTATTTTCTGTTCTTTATGTAAATATCACATAAACCGTATGTTGTTTTCTGGGGGAATGTGGAAAATGAAAATACACATTGAACTTCTCTCTTTCTCTAATTTCTGCATTTCACCCCTATAATTTCAACTTCTATAGTTCTACTTTATTCTCTTCATTCCACATTTCCCTGGTTATTTGGGTTTTGGCTTGCATCAGTAGTGTCTAGGGAAATACACGATTGTTAAAATTATCACTCAATATTTTCAAGAAAATTGTGTTTTGATAATCACTCAATATTATTTCTCAAATAACTTTTTCGTCCCATCATGAGCTAGTTAATTTTCTATATTATATTTGTCTCATATAATTGTGTTATACATTCATATTTAATATATTTGTTAGATAACCTGCATTCTTTGCTGTGGCCTGTCTTCCAGTTATTTGCATGACATAAATTTCTTCTTTAGAAATATCGAAAGCAGGGGAGAAACAGTTCAGAAGCACCAACCTTGTCCAGTTTTCCACCATATTCATTTATATATGCTCACGAGAAGCCAAAAGAGAGACTCATCCCTCTAAATCTTCATCATCTTCCTTTCTCTCTCATGAATCCCTCAAAGAAACCAACTTCTGATTTAATAAAACCACCATTAATATTTTTGTTATTTAGCTGCAATATGAGAGACATCGTTTCTTGTTTTAGTGAAAACGCAGTGAATGTTTCTCAATCCCCACGTTCTAGCTATTCAAGCAAAGCTTGTATCTCTCCGACTCTGAGCCTACTCCCTTCAGTCCAGAACTCAGTCGACGCCGTTTACAAGGTC